TGTGTCAATCATCATCGTTAATTATTGCAAAATGCAAAGTGGGCGGAAGGCGCTTTTGACAACATTTTCATCAGACCTACGTTTCGCCCTTTCCGTCGACGAATTTTAGGGCGGGTGAAACGTAGGTCTGTTATCAGGCTATTTAATAAGGGAAAACTTCGGCTAGTTTCATGTCATCTGGGAACGTTGATGTGGCGAAGGAGCAATTGATAATGTTGGTAATTGGACCAAGAACAACAGGAAGGCAATCTTTTAAAACACTCATACTAACTTTGTCCGGTCCTGGTACTTTGTTTGAAGGCATAGACGTGATGATTCGTTTAATATCAATACACGAAACGGGCGATAAGTGAAACATTTCATGCGTGGTGTGTGCAGGTGATATTGCAGGAAAGGAGCTTGAAGTTGGTCCGTTTTTTCTCCAACAACGATAAAAAATTGGTTGAATTCATTTGCAATGTGTTCCGAATCTTTACTATAACATTGAATTTTTCTTTCTTTGCTGGGAATGCAACGATTGATAATTTTCCATAAAGATGTTGTATTGTTTTTATGCTAATACTTCGCCGCGAACATATTCTTCCTCTGCGTTCTTTAGGGCAATTTTGACTGATTGTTTATTCAGTTATATGACCGGGTTTTTTTTTGTCTACAGCGCCTCGTGACAAAAATATTGTGGGAAGGTCTGAGCTGTGTGAAATGACTATATTGGTTTGGCACATGTGTAACCCGTGCCACGCAGAATGCTTTATAATTGATATAATATGGGTAGCTTGATCTGCATGGTGTATTTAGTTTGTTTATTTTTGGGAGTTGCTTTGTATGCAGCGCCCCGTGACTAATATGCCTGGTAATGCGAACAGCTTGAATTTTAGGCCATGTTACACGGTGCGATTTTTCTTGCAACTTGCAATGCAATTCTACTCTTGAGCCCGAGATGTTAATTAGTGAAATCAGTGAACAATTTTCGATATGTTGAGAAAACATGGAAAGGACTTTTGTCACTTGCAGCGCGCCAAATATCACCAGTGGAAAAATCCACCGGTTACCTCATTGTTTACATTGAAGGCCGAAGCGGTTACATTATCGGTCATTATCGAAGGAGTCTAAAAATAATATTATTCTCAGGCCTTTTTTGAACAAATGTGTATTATTGAAGCAAACAGAGTAAACAATGTAATTACAATATATTTTGTAGAACACAAAATCCATGCGAAAATACACAAACAAACATTACATTGAGTATAAAGTACAGGTGCACGTGTAGAAATAAACGTGAAATATACTGCCATGGAAGATGCATCTGATGATTCTAAAATTTCCTCACTAATTTCGGGTTTAGTTTGGGTTTCTTGATTTCGATTACTGGTTATTACAAATTCGTTTGCTGTGAACACAACGCGTATTTGACCTCTAGCGACGTCTTCTAGTTGATCACAATCGCCGCCTCTCTGCTTCTTGGTTACAGTTGTCTGATTCTTTTCAATTAGATTAACTTCTACTACATTAAATCGCTGGCGAACTGAATCAACTTCTATAATAAGTCTAAAAAATTACTATTCTTGTCGATACGATTACGGCACACATTGTTAGACAAACAACTGTCCACATTCAATTTTTGTTCTCACATTGAACAGCTTTCGGCGCTTACTTGGGTCAGCTATTTCGTTTCCACATTTGGCGCAAACTGTTTCATTCGACGACAAAGAAATATCAATTCTTGAGAATGTTTTTGTAGACCCATTGTCGGCGCGGTGAAGCAATTGTATGGAATGTACACACCGTAACACCCTTTTATGTCAAAATTATTCGCGCCAAAATTTTTAATGCGATTTATATTCCTCCAAGTGACACAAGTCGACCACTCGCGACTTCGTCGCTCGGGTCGCGCGCTTCCTCCCCCCGCGCCCTCCCTCCACCATGGTCGACTTGTGGCAAGTCCAAGAAAACATCAGCGGAGTGAAATGAAGACTCGTATTTGGCAATTTTACATCTTTCAAGAGTAGAATTGCATTGCAAGTTGCAAAAAAATTGAACCGTGCAACATGGCCTTTATATGAAAGCGGTTTTATATACAGAGTCCCGTGACATACACTATCGCGGGAAGGCCTGAGCTGTGTGACATGACTGGTTATATTATTTGTTTGCCACGTGTGTAATAATTGTCCTGTAGAATAGCTGATAAATATATGGGCATCGAATTATCCGAAATCATGGATCATGTTGTGGGTCACGAGGGCAAACCGTGCAGCATAATCTACCACTCGGGACTGTGCTACATTCAATGGTAGTATCTGTTCAGTGGGCGTCCCATGATACATCACAAGTAACGGCGGACTGATATTAATCAACTTGCACGTGTTGTTTGCTCGTATCCTGTTAGATCCTTGACAACACGCCCTCGTACCAGGACAGAATTTCAGGTTTGGGGATGAGGTACTGTATGGGAGTAGGATGGAAAGAGGGATTGGGAGACAAGTGTAAGAGATAAATTGGTGGGATGAGCAACTGAGAACAAGAGGTGACCCATCTTTTCATCCCAATACCTTCATTGCACTGAGCAGATGAGGCGAGTGTTGCTGAATAGATTATTAACCAAAATGCAATTTTAATTCGGAAGGTATGTACGCTGTAATATATAGCGTAATTTCTTTATCAAGTCACCAGGATGCTTATTTTTTCAAGCACGTAGAGCAGGGGTTGGGATAACCTGAATATCAGGCTCTATTTTACAAATAATAGCCTGACACAAACCTTAACCCGATCGCTTTCCACCCACAGAAAAGTTTACATTTAGTATCCAATCAAAATTACACAACGACAACAACAATCTAATTATAGTTGTGATCACTATAAAATATATTATGGACTTTTGTGAAGGTTTGTATCTGGACCAACTTAGCCGGCATTTGTCTCAAATCAATCCAAATTTAGTTATTTTGGATAGATAAATAAATTATCTATATTTCCAAGTGTATACAGCATTTTTCATGCAGCAACCCTTTCTCACCAACCAACCAAACGCTATATGTAGAGGCATGTGCTAAAACCTGGACAATGGACGATTTTTATTTAGCTACAGCCGTTTCAACAAATTCAGTTTTCAAATTTAATCTCCGGCTATCACTTTGTCACTATAGACACTATACTATCAATTTGACACACCTTAATGACCTTACTTACTTACTTATTGAAATTTGATTGACAGTTCATTAAATAGAAATATACAAATTTATAACATTTTAATCAATGTTACAATTCTGGACGTTGCACTTTTATCAGTTGATTAATATCGTAAATCTATTGGGTAGGGATAAAACACGGATACGGACGGCACGGATGGCACGGATACGGACGAGGGGATAAAACACGCACGAGGGGATAAAACACGGGCGAGGGGATAAAATACGGACGAGGTGATAAAACACGGACGAGGTGATAAAACACGGACTAGGTGATAAAACACGGACGAGGGGATAAAATACGGACGAGGGGATAAAACACGGACGAGGGGATAAAACACGGACGAGGGGATAAAATACGGACGAGGGGATAAAACACGCACGAAGGGATAAAACACCGACAAGGTGATAAAACACCGACGAGGGGATAAAATACGGACGAGGAGATAAAACACGGACGAGGGGATAAAATACGGACGAGGGGATAAAACACGGATGAGGGGATAAAACACGGACGAGGGGATAAAATACGGACGAGGGGATAAAACACGCACGAAGGGATAAAACACCGACAAGGTGATAAAACACCGACGAGGTGATAAAACACGGACGAGGTGATAAAACACGGACGAGGGGATAAAATACGGACGAAGGGATAAAACACGGACGAGGGGATAAAACACGGAGGAGGGGATAAAACACGGATGGGGGAATAAAACACTGATGGGGGGAATAAAACACGTACGAATGGGGGAATAAACGTAATTATTATATATCAATAGTCAAAGTCGCATTTTCTAGTATTGAGAGTGGTTGAGACCATATCACGGGAGAGTGACGAAATTAGGCTGTCTCCCTCGCAACAGCGCGAGAGGGAGATAATACATTATCAACCGGCGAATAAGAAAAAAAATCACGAGCGCCATCACGTGAAGATGCGACCTTTGGACATGCCTAGTACGTAATTAAAACTTTCGCTTTAAGTAACTGCAGTGTAGCGAGTGTTTAATATAACGTTTTAGCAATAAAATATTTCATGTATTTACGTTCATTTGTTCTACTCCTTGTCGACAAGTAGTTTCGCATTACACTACAATTCAATTTTTCAAATGTAAATATCGCGGCGAGTATCGCGGCGAGTAAAATGCGTAATTTGATCGTATTCGATCTCACTTTACTTTTAAAGCTCATAAATCGCTATAATGTTGCCAATGACTAAAACTATTGCTACGAGTGAGGAGATCTTGTCACACTGAATCGAATGGTGGTATTTTTGTCCTCATAGCATTCAATGAACCGAAGATATTAAATCGGAAAAGCGTATTTCTTACAAGCATTGCGGTAATAGGGTCGTGTCGTTAAAGAGTTTAATTTGTTGTTTCCTTGAAAAATAACCATTTTTGGGAGGAAAGTGGTTATCTTTACCGCGCTAATGGGCACCCGTAATTAAAGTTGTAAAAAAATTCATGATATAAGAAACAATTTAAACACAAATGATAAACCCATACCATATAAAACTCGTCTTGTAATCTGCTGGCTTGTTATGACGTAGAATTTACTGCAGAGCGACATATGTGTGAGAATATAACGTTATTGAATAGAAAGTGTGGCAAGTGATTAAACTAACAAATGCTTTTTTTATATCGCATAAACAGCGGGTGTTAATCAGACACGTAAAAGGTTCAAATGTAAACTGCTAGTACAAGCAACTAACATGTGTTGAGTGTCTTGTTTCTCGAGCTTCCTCAGTAAATTTTGTATTCTCAAAATATCAAGTAATTAAAATGAATCCTTGCCTTATCTTCCTTAGTTCAACAGGTACTCGAATAGTTCGTACTTATTGAATGTGCGCACAGTTACGTTTATTCCCCCAACCGTGTTTTACCCCCAAAACAGTGTTTTATCTCCCCATCCGTATTTTATCCTCTCGTCCGTGTTCTATCCCCTCGTCCGTGTTTTATCCCCTCGTCTGTGTTTTATCCCCTCGTCCGTGTTTTATCCCCTCGTCTGTGTTTTATCCCTTCGTCCGTGTTTTATCCCCTCATCCGTGTTTTATCAACTCGTCCATGTTTTATCCCCTCGTCCGTGTTTTATCCTCTCGTCCGTGTTTAATCCCCCATCCGTGTTTTATCCCCTGATCCTTGTTTTATCCCCTCGTCCGTGTTTTATCCCCTCGTCCGTGGTTTATCCTCTTGTCCAAATTTTATTCCCTCGTCCGTGTTTTATCCCCTCTTCCGTGTTTTATTCCCTCGTCCACGTTTTATCTCCTCGTGCATGTTTTATCCCCCATCCGTGTTTTATCCCCCATATGTGTTTTATCCCCCCATCCGTGTTTTATCCCTTCGTCCATGTTTTATTCCGTCGTCCGTGTTTTATCCCCTCTTCCGTGTTTTATTCCCTCGTCCACGTTTTATCTCCTCGTGCATGTTTTATCCCCTATCCGTGTTTTATCCCCCCATCCGTGTTTTTTCCCCTCGTCCATGTTTTATTCCCTCGTCCGTGTTTTTTCAACACGTCCATGTTTTATTCCCTCGTCCGTGTTCTATCCCCTCGTTCTTGATTTATCCCCTCGTCCGTGTTTTATCCTCTCGTCCGTGTTTAATCCCCCATCCGTGTTTTATCCCCTGATCCTTGTTTTATCCCCTCGTCTGTGTTTTATCCCCTCGTCCGTGTTTTATCCTCTTGTCCAAATTTTATTCCCTCGTCCGTGTTTTATCCCCTCTTCCGTGTTTTATTCCCTCGTCCACGTTTTATCTCCTCGTGCATGTTTTATCCCCCATCCGTGTTTTATCCCCCATCTGTGTTTTATCCCCCCATCCGTGTTTTATCCCCTCGTCCATGTTTTATTCCCTCGTCCGTGTTTTATCCATTCGTCCGTGTTTTATCCACTCGTCCATGTTTTATCCCCTTGTCCGTGTTTTATCACCTCGTCCGTGTTTTATCCACTCGTCCATGTTTTATCCCCTTGTCCGTGTTTTATCCCCTCGTCCGTGTTTTATCACCTCATCCGTGTTTTATCCCCTCGTCCGTGTTCTATCCCCTCATCCTTGTTTTATCCCCTCGTCTGTGTTTTATCCCCTCGTCCGTGTTTTATCCTCTTGTCCAAATTTTATTCCCTCGTCTGTGTTTTATCCCCTCTTCCGTGTTTTATTCCCTCGTCCACGTTTTATCTCCTCGTGCATGTTTTATCCCCTATCCGTGTTTTATCCCCCCATCCGTGTTTTTTCCCCTCGTCCATGTTTTATTCCCTCGTCCGTGTTTGTTCAACACGTCCATGTTTTATTCCCTCGTCCGTGTTCTATCCCCTCGTTCTTGATTTATTCCCTCGTCCACGTTTTATCTCTTCGTCCATGTTTAATTCCCCATCCGTGTTTTATCCCCTCATCCTTGTTTTATCCCCTCGTCCGTGTTTTATCCCCTCGTCCGTGGTTTATCCTCGTGTCCAAATTTTATTCCCTTGTCCGTGTTTTATTCCCTCTTCCGTGTTTTATTCCCTCGTCCACGTTTTATCTCCTCGTGCATGTTTTATCCCCCATCCGTGTTTTATCCCCCATCCGTGTTTTATCCCCTCATCCGTGTTTTATCCCCTCGTCCATGTTTTATTCCCTCGTCCGTGTTTTATCCACTCGTCCATGTTTTATCCCCTTGTCCGTGTTTTTTCAACTCGTCCATGTTTTATTCTCTCGTCCGCGTTTTATCCACTCGTCCGTGTTTTATCCCCTCGTCCGTGTTTTATCCCCTCGTCCATGTTTTATCCCCTCGTCCGTGTTCTATCCCCTCGTTCTTGATTTATTCCCTCGTCCACGTTTTATCTCTTCGTCCGTGTTTTATCCTCTTGTCCAAATTTTATTCCCTCTTCCGTGTTTTATCCCCTCTTCCGTGTTTTATTACCTCGTCCACGTTTTATCTCCTGGTGCATGTTTTATCCCCCATCCGTGTTTTATCCCCCCATCCGTGTTTTCTCCCGTCGTCCTTGTTTTATCCCCTCGTCCGTGTTTTATCACCTTGTCCGTGTTTTATCCCCTTGTCCGTGTTTTATCCCCTGGTCCGTGCTTTATTCCCTCGTCCGCGTTTTACATGTGTCTCCTCGTGCATGTTTTATCCCCCATCCGTGTTTTATCCCCTCGTCCGTGTTTTATCCCCTCGTCCATGTTTTATCCCACCGTCCGTGTCCGTGCCGTGCGTATCCGTGTTTTATCCCCCAGCCTATCTAGATTTATTGTTCTATCACGTTCAAATTTACCATGGAATATACCTTCTCGGAAGTTTTACAAGGTAAAGTAACAATAAAATTGAAATGAGAATGTTTGACTGGTAGTATAACCCTGAAGCATGCATTTTTTAGATATTTTATTAAGTACTTATATATATATATATATATATATATATATATATATATATATATATACGGTAGTTTAAACACCTCGTGTTTTGCTGAGGCACTTGTATTCATCTTTCTTCCTGAAAAAGGATTTCTTCTGCGAATTTACTAGAAGTTTCAGACCCTAAAATCCCCCAAATCCCTGGGCAAGTACTGCATGTATAAGTTATAGTTTGTAGCAAAACAGTTTTCGCTTTCAACAATTGGCGTGAGTAAATAACCGGACCGATATTTCGTACTTGTAGAGAATGTTCTTCTCAAGCTACGGCATCTAGATCTATCTCTCACAATCCACAAAGCGTACCAAGAAGTACTGAAAAAGGTTAGTAAAATCGTTTTCAAACTGGATATTTAAGAGCTCGAAATCTCAAATAATATTTTGCAATTCTAGATTCCCCTTATTACGTTTTCGCACAGCTTTCCACTATAACCACAATGAAAAGCGCTACGAAACCGTAATAAGAAGAATCTAGAATTGTCGGTCCGGTTATTTACGCACGCCAATTATTGAAAGCGAAAACTGTTTTGATAAAAACTATAACTTATACAGTACTTGCCCAGTGATTTGGGCGATTTCGGGGTCTGAAACTTCTAGTAAATTCGCAGAAGAATTCCTTTTCCTGAAGAAAGATTAAATATACGTGCTTCAACAACACACGAAGTGTTTAAATTACCGTTAGTATGTACATTTAATGCTTAATAAAATATCTAAAAAATGCATGCTTCAGCGTTATACTAGCAGTAAAACATTTTCATTTCAATTTTGTTGTTACTATACCTTGTCAAACTTCCGAGAAGGTATAGTCCATGGTAAATTTGAACGTGATGGAACAATAGATTTACAATAATCAACAGGTCGCGTTAAAAGTGCAACGTCGAGAATTGTAACATTGATTAAAATGTTGTAAATTTGTATAATTTCTATTTAATGAACTGTCAATCAAATTTCAGTAAGTAAGTAAGTAAGTAAGTAAGTAAGTAAGGTCATTAAGGTGTGTCAAATTGATAGTATAGTGTCTATAGTGACAAAGTGATAGCCGAAGACTGAATTTGGAGGCTGAATTTGCTGAAACGGCTGTAGCTAAATAAAAATGTCCATCGTGCAGGTTTTAGACGGTGGACGTCCATCGTGCATTCCATCGTCCAGGTTTTAGCACATGCCATATGTGGTCCTGAAATATTCGTTTTAGGATGAAGTAATACCAATGTACGAACAGCAGACTAAACAGTGTTTAGTTCCATGCATAAAAATTGGTGTGCATTGCGTTACATGTATCTGCAATGCATAATGTGAAAAGTTCACGACAAAACACTTACCTATTTAGATTGTTGCACTAATTGGTGGATATTTTTTATAATATAACACCTCATTAAATTATGGTCATTAAGATCACGTGGTATGGATTATAGTTAGCGCTATTAACATGTTATTTCTTCACTAAAACATTTGTTGGCACTTTTTTGTTGGATTTTAATTGTTTTTGAACAAGGTATGTATTTTAATATGCTGTACTTAATGCACTTACAAATTCGATAAAATTATTCTATTTTCAGTATTTTGGTGTCATTTTAAACACGTAATGAATGTTTTCATTTGTGCAATAGTAAAAATATTTTCATTCTGTTAAAGATTTAATTTCCCATTTCACTCGGCTGTCGCCTGCATGCACACTGCAAAAAATGCATGAGTAAATGTTACTCATTTTATGAGTTATTGCAACAATTACTCAATAATTTGAGTAAATGTTACTCCTTCTTTATGTTAAAATACTTTTACTCTTAAACTTGTGTAAACAACAACTCTGTATTTTGAGTAAAATAATTTGAGTAACTATCACTCAAGACAATGAGTATTATTTACTCAGCACTGAGTAAATGACGAAATTAATTTTACTCAAAAGTGGAGTAAACATCACCAACTCAATTGATTGAGTAAAAGCATTTTTTTTACTCTTTTTTGAGTAAACAAAAAAATTACTCAAATTTTGAGTAAAAACTGACGAACATCTCTACTCACGACGATGAGTATTATTTACTCACTGCTGCGTAGACGACAAAATTTACTCTTAAATTGAGTAATTTACTCACTGCTGCGTAAATTACGAAATTTACTCTTAAATTGAGTAAACAACAACTCTGTATTTTGAGTAAGATCATTTGAGTATTGACCACTCAAGACAATGAGTATACTTTACTCAGCTCTGAGTAATGACGAAATTTAGTTTTACTCAAGAGTAGAGTAAACTTCACCAACTCAATTTTTTGAGTAAAAAAACCCTCAAATATTGAGTAATAACTGACCAACTTTTCTACTCTAAATGATGAACATAATTTACTCGCATACATTTACTTACATATTCATTCTAACCATTAAAACTGTATAGTGTATTTTTATTCAGTTATCAGCTTAGCTTTATAATTAGTACCATTTAAACTTAACGAGTAATATATGACTGGTCATACTCCTACGTTACAATAATTCTGGCTTTAAAAGTAGCAAAATCTGTTGCATTTTTATTTATTTCGGGATCTAGCAATATATACACCCACATTTTGTCACACTTATGACTAATCCTCTACTAATCCTCTAATGAGATTTAGAATTATAACAGGATGCATACAGGATGTGGGAGTTGTCTGCTCGGCATTGTATTTAGGACAGTGCCGAAATTGTTTTTATTAAACACGTCATTTCATCATGAGTAACTGTTGCGGAACTTGTGATTCCACCGTCTGGTTCATTCAGTAAACGCTCAAGGGACTGTATTTTATAATTGTATTGATTGTAATATGTGAAAGTATACTATTTACAACGTGAGTTTTAGACTGTTAAACATTCCGATTGTCTCGCTACGATCTGACGGCAACAATGACATTCAATCACTACCTAGCTATTTGATTACCCTACCAAATTACAATGTGTCACTGTGACGTATCAATTTACACATACAAAGACTTATTTACGATTTAACATGAATTACGTCAATCACAATACTGATATATTACATGAAGTATATTTAAAGTTGAATGAATTGGCGGCGCTGCGCTGGGAACCTACGACAGTAACCAATCATCGACCGCAAAATCCACACAGGCGGTTAACGCGCCATAGTCAAATTACATCCTATAAATTTTTTATCGATCATTCAGTGCAGCCGGTATAGTAAGACAGCCAAGTTATCTCCTTTGCGTAGAGCAAAACTGAAGAATTATCGTTCAAATGTATTGAAGATGGTAAAATCAAAAGAACACGTTCAATCGTGGCTTATTAAAATTGGCTTCGAGGACTATTGCCAGTGTTTTAAAGGTATGTTTTCATTTGAAAGCGCATGATATCATATTTTCAGTTGGTCGCCGACAAACAGAGTTTGGCGTTTACATGCACGTTTTGCAAGTACGCGACGCTGTTTTTCGATTTAATTTACAGGTAACGTTCATCCTGTTTAAAATATTTAGTTACGCTGTAATATATTGGGTTATTGTGTCTACATATATTCTAACTTTCCTTCATTGCTCTATTTCCTCTCGCGCCACGCCAGGGTGCTCGTCGCGTTTTTCGGTGTGTGTTTGGCCTTATAAATGACTCAAAATAACACCATATCGACCTGAAAATTTCCCCACATACTTACGTAACATTTACTTTTAAAGTTTATTACAAAATATAGAATATGGTGTTTGTGCGCAAAATCCTTTCTTTAATCAAGTTGCCTCGCTGGTCGCCTGTTTGACTGTTCGGTAAAATTAAGTTTTGTGAGTTCAGTCTCAGATGACAACAATTTATTTTTTAGATAATATGATTGATGGACATGCCCTTATAGGTCTCACTGAACGAGCATTACAATTGTTAGTTCCACCAATAGGGCCACGAATGAATTTCTTACAAAAACTGGATGAGCTTAAAAAACTCAACTGCCAACCCCAAACGCACAAACCTTTGGAGGCTACAACACCTCCGGCTACACTCATTATTGAAGATGACGTAAATAATCCTGACAACCAGTGCACATCCACAGCAATGCAAGAACAGCCTAGAAGCCCAACGGCAACACCAGAATCTGAAGGATCAAGGTTGGTTTTACTTTCATCTGTTTGAGTGTTAATTACAGCAATAGCACAGTGGTTTCTGCCTGAAAGTATAATTCTAGAAGTTTTACGTCTTGAATATTGTCATTGCGCATTGGGTTTTTTCAACCAGCTTTTGTCTTAGCCTAATCCTCTTAGGGGGGATGCTATGTTGTAGATGTATATCTATCTTCTGTAATGATGATTATAATGGTCAAGAGAAAACTAAGAAATAGCCAATAGGATTATATAGGTAATATTATAGTGTGTTTTCTAATGCAATTCAGTTTACAAGGGTACTATATATTTACTGTATTCTATTATTTCTACTCATTTTAACCAAAAATTAGAAATGAAATAACTGAAAACATGCAGTTTGTAATTGGCAACAAACTTAAATAACAGTACAGTTTGTCTTGAATTTTTGACCTCAGTATTGCTGTGTTTCAGCTTTTGTGTAAGGCCGGCACTTGTCGCCTTTAACCAATAGCTCACTCAGGTGGCACATTCCAGAGCCGCCTGTCAGTGAGAACTACTGAGACAGAATTTAAGGCTTGTATACATTCATGTTGATGCAGTTTTCTGTTGTTGTGTAAGGCGGTTATGCTGCCTTTTACCAGCACCTCTTTTGAGTGGCATGTGAAAGCAAGCCGCTCATGAAAGGGGAGATGCATGGCTGTATACCTTCTGTGCTAATGATTTTTAACTTTTCCTGCTCGAAATAGAGCAACTGCATGGTTTGCAAGGGTACTATTTATTTACTGTATTCTGTTATTTCTACTCATTTTAACCAAAAATTAGAAATAAAATAACTGAAAACATGCAGATTGTATTAGGCAACAAACTGAATAACAGTACAGTTTGTCTTGAATTTTGACCTCAGTATTGCTGTTTTTCAGCTTTTGTGTAAGGCCGGCACTTGCCGCCTTTAACCAATAGCTCACTCAGGTGGCACATTCCAGAGCCGCCTGTCAGTGAGAACTACTGAGACAGAATTTAAGGCTTGTATACATTCATGTCGATGCAGTTTTCTGTTGTTGTGTAAGGCAGTTATGCTGCCTTTTACCAGCACCTCTTTTGAGTGGCATGTGAAAGCAAGCCGCTCATGAAAGTGGAGATGCATGGCTGTATACCTTCTGTGCTAATGATTTTTAATTTTTCCTGCTCAAAATAGAGCAACTGGTTTGCAAGGGTACTATTTATTTACTGTATTCTATTATTTCTACTCATTTTAACCAAAATTTAGAAATAAAATAACTGAAAACATGCAGTTTGTAATAGGCAACAAACTTAAATAACAGTACAGTTTGTCTTGAATTTTGACCTCAGTATTGCTGTTTTTCAGCTTTTGTGTAAGGCCGGCACTTGCCGCCTTTAACCAATAGCTCACTCAGGTGGCACATTCCAGAGCCGCCTGTCAGTGAGAACTACTGAGACAGAATTTAAGGCTTGTATACATTCATGCTGATGCAGATTTCTGTTGTTGTGTAAGGCAGTTATGCTGCCTTTTACCAGCACCTCTTTTGAGTGGCATGTGAAAGCAAGCCGCTCATGAAAGGGGAGATGCATGGCTGTATACCTTCTGTGCTAATGATTTTTAATTTTTCCTGCTCAAAATAGAGCAACTGGTTTGCAAGGGTACTATTTATTTACTGTATTCTATTATTTCTACTCATTTTAACCAAAATTTAGAAATAAAATGACTGAAAACATGCAGTTTGTAATTGGCAACAAACTTAAATAACAGTACAGTTTGTCTTGAATTTTGACCTCAGTATTGCTGTTTTTCAGCTTTTGTGTAAGGCCGGCACTTGCCGCCGATTTGAGGCTTGTATACATTCATGTTGATGCAGTTTCCTGTTGTTGTGACAGTTGTGTATGCCGCCTTTAACCTGCATGTTAAAACCAGCTGCTCATGAAAGGGGATGCAATTAGATGTATACCTTTTCATTCTGCACTGATGATTTTTTTCCACCTTTGAGCAACAAATCACTCAGGTTCATGGCACTTGTTTGAGACACCTGAATAGCTCCCCAGAATAGCTCCCCGACAAAACAACAACACTTTTATCAGAACCTCTTTAACATGGTTGAGAAGATAATAGGCTCCCATGGGAAGAGATGGAAACTATAAATGGCATACATGGGAAGAGATGGAAACTATCAACAGTAAGTTTAATCATATGGTTTAATGTGCCACCTATATGGTAAAATACAGCATTAAGAAACTATACATGCTACGATTAAACAGAATATTAATTACCTAAATGTTTATTTACTTTGTTTTAGACGAAACTCTGGATATTGCAATGCTGGTTTTGCCATTGCTCCAGAAGCTGAAAGCAGGAAAGGGTTGTCAGAGCGACTTTGTGCAATATATCCCTGTAAGTAATCATTAATAAGAATTATAAATTTGTTGTTGCAGTGGATGTCTGCTGCAGCAGCTTAAAGGCCCTGTTATACGGTGCAATTTTTCATGCAACTTGTCTCGCAATGTTTATAAAAAGATTTTGATAATGCATTGCAAGAGGTGTTACACGCTGCAATGATTTTCGTGCAACTCGCAACGATAGGGGACAGAGGCATGCGAAGAGACTAGGGAGAGGCGCTATTTGGCGCCAAATTTTAATTAAAATAAAGCGTGTACTGGGGAGAGCCAATAGGAACTCTCCAAGCTATAAACATTGCGAGACAAGTTGCACGAAGCCATGTTACACGCTGCAACGCTTAAAATAATTAGTGCAATCGTTGCCAAAAGTAGAACCGACTTCTACTCTCTGCAATGCTTCATGCAACTTGTCTCGCAACGATTTTGACCATTTCAAGGCATGTTAAACGGTGCAATGACTCGTGCAACTCGTCTCGCAACGCCATTGCGAGACAAGTTACATGAAAAATTGCACCGTGTAACAGGGCCTTTAAAGGACCATGTAAAGTCTGTTCCGCACATACGTTCTGCACAGGCCTACCATTGGACTGTTGATAATATTTCGCAACTTTCAAACTTTCTTGAATTGATGTACTGTTATACAAGCATAGCAAACCAGAATTAACTCAGTATATCATATTTTACAAATATGGCACTGAATTCAAAATGTAAACAAAGTGTTTGTTTACATGTACATTACAGACTTTATACGGCCTTTACACTCGATTTCAATTTGCTTTTGTAATCTGACTTCAAATTTTTGCTAGTTAAATATGTCAAGCCAATCAAATTGCTTAGCTATTGAATCATCGTAAATCATCGGAACTGGAACTCATAACATTGCAACGAACATTCTGAACTTACAAACAAACATTCGAAGTCGAGGTCACAAAAGCAAATTGAAATCAAGAGTAAATAATATGTGTTTGCTACACATACAGTGTACTTGCTGTACAGCTATAAGAATTGAATGAATCTATTAAATGGAAGCACATGGTCATGGATGCATGGAAATAGAATATTAATTAATGATGATGTATTTTGTGTTGTATATATACTTCAGGCAGGTAAATAGAAATTAAATGTGCATGTAATCTCTTTTTAAATATACACTTCTATTTTTGATAGGAGGATGGAAGCTTTGAAGATGCTGCCAAGAGTGCGAACGAAGTAAGCCCGAAAATAGTCATTAAGGGAGACCCCGATGATTGGGAGGAGACGGCTATTGTAGCAGAAAAGATGGTCCTTTTCACGTTTCAAGAGTGGGTGGTGGACGCAGCTGTCAAGAGCTGTGGTATTTATGGCTGTAAATTATGTTTTTATGTTCGAGTACGCAGGTACCTTGAATAATTTCTGTTTGTTCTTGCAAAAGTGTGTGTTGAACATCAACGATGGCAAGAAGCTGCCAGCTTCAGTTATTAGCTTCGTCAATAAACTGGACTCGATGGCCAACTATAGATTGACTAATATGCTAGGAACATAATTTACAATAACTATTTTAAACATTATATAAGTATACAGATATAATTTTATAGAAGACTGTTCTCTTTAATACCTTGATTAAACCTTGAAGTTGAAACAATGAAACTTGCATGAATACTTTAATAATTGATCGATCATTCATTCATAATCTTTTTTCAAGACTTTTAATTTTTGTGGACGATTTATATACACATGAAAGGTTAAGTTCAGATTCAGTCACACACTCAATGGTCACACATTTGTTTTAGCCCCGCCACAGTAAACCCAAGCTTTTCATGCTCTGTGTTATATAATCCGAATAAAATTTCTATAAAAATATTTCCAAATTATTTTACAGAAATAAACAATCTGTTAGGTGGTGTATTAAGGTGAATTTAACCATTCATGTGTATAAGAAGACAGCTGGCATATATATATATATATATATATATATATATATATATATATATATATATATATAAACTGGACTGCTTACTCGTCCTCCAAAATGGCCAGTATTTTACACTATAGAGCGGTTTGCTGATTTCTCGATATCAGTCTGCTGCAGCGTTATTTACCAGCTCCATGCATGCAGACAGATTTTATTGTGTATTGACTGTCCATTGTTGATTTTTAACGATTATTAATTAATTATAACATTTAGTCACCAAATATTGTCTGTGTTTACTCTTGGTTTTGTCTGTACGTGTATTTGTTGCATTATAGTAACTGAAATTTTCTATATAGAGGTATATGTAGATAAATCTGAAGCTTTGAGAAACGCTCACTCAAAGTTTGAGTAATCTTTACATTTACTCGAAATAAGGAGTCAGTATGGGTACATTTTAGTTGAGTAACTGGAACTCTTTTTTGAGTAAAATTACTCCAGTTTTGAGTAACATTTACTCAAAGTTTGAGTAATCTTTACATTTACTCCAAATGAGGAGTCACTAGGCATACATTTTATTTGAGTAACTAGAACTCTTTTTCGAGTACAATTACTCCTGTTTTGAGTAACATTTACTCAAAGTTTGAGTAATCTTTACATTTACTCAAAATAAAGAGGCGGTATGGGTGCATTTTTTTTGAGTAACTAGAACTCATTTTTTGAGTAAAATTACTCCAGTTTTGAGTAACATTTACTCAAAGTTTGAGTAATCTTTACATTTACTCAAAATAAAGAGGCGGTATGGGTGCATTTTTTGTGAGTAACTACAAC